AAGTTATAGCCTATGTATTTCAACGACAGAAATTATTATGCCCCTTCGTAAATCTCGATCACGATATGTTTCTACTAAAATAAAGCTATGTCACTATCAATATCGCAATGTCCGATACGTCCATACTAAAATTGCTATGTTTGCGATGTCCCTACTAAAATGGCCACGTCCCTTCCAAAATCTCGATATGTTTTTTACTAATATGACTATGCTTCTACTAAAAAGATTACGGTGTAAGTACCTTCGTAAATGGCTATGTCCGCTATGTCTATACTATACTAAAACGGATATTTCCGCTATGTCTATGTCTAGTATGGCTATGCCCCTACTAGAGTGGCTATTTCTACTAAAATGATATGTTCATCCTAAAATGGCTATGTACCTACCAAAATGGATATGTCCGCTATACCCATGCTGAAATGGCTATGTCCACTATTAATTTGCTAGGTCTCGATTACATAATTCAATTCGGCTATGTGTCTTGGAAAAATAGCTCGAATGTCTTGATACAAATAAAATAGGCTTATAGGCTATGTATTTCAAAGAATTGTGTCTCACGCACGAGCAAATTAAAAATTTACAGCTCAACTCTCTCAAGGGGTACATATGTAATATTCATTACTTGAAAAAGTACTGTTTTCGAGTCTTTTTCTTTCTTCTTTTTTGATCCAGATGTTTGTGATGGAGTTAAATATTGTATGCGATTTACCGTCAGTTGATGAACAAAGACAAGGGGGACTTATTGGGGGAGGACAGCGGCACACGTTGTAAAAATCTTTAAAATATTTATTTATTTCGACTCGTGTTATTTGCTGGAAAATTGGAGCAGAACGGCAGGTCATTTATTGTAACCAGGATTCCAAGGGGCCTTAAAACAGATCCCTGAGGAATTCCACAATGAATGGGGAGCATTGAAAACCTTTGGAAATCTACCTCAACAAATTGTCTTCGGCCGGACAGGTAAAAACAGTGTCGAAGGCTTTTTCAGGATTTTGGAAAATACCACATACAAATTCTACTTTGTCAGCTCATCATAAATAGAGGAATGGCATGGTTGGTAGAATGAATGGTCTGAAATCCGAATTGACATTTGTTGATTAGGTTGAATTTAGTGCAAAAATTGAGCATTCTCCTATGTAATAATATTCTAAAATGATGCCAAGGATCATTATTTTACCAATCTTAAATATAGGTATCGCTCGAGCAATCTCTAATGAGGAAGGGAAAATACCTAATCTAAATGACGAATTGAAAAAAATGGCACAGCGCTGGTGGAATGATATCAGCCACAGATTTTAGAAAATGAGATGGAATACCATCAGACCCAAGTGCTTTCTCTTCTTCAGGTTCCATAATACTTGGAAGTTTTCTGTAGGTGACGTAAGCTTAGGAAAAACAGGGTTTCGCGAGGGACTACCCATCCCTAGGCTTACAATAGGATACGTCCCGCTTTAGGCGGGACAGTCCCGCTTTTTAGCGTCTTGTCCCGCCGTCCTGACAAGTCAGCCAAAAGTCCCGCTTTTGCGTTCAGCCATCCAGTATAATACACGAACATGTTCACGTTACTGATATTTCTGTGTAGCGCAGCGCTAGCCGACTCACTGAAGGTGAATGCGTTTGTTTCCCGCTAACATTGATAGCAGGCGTATCGCATGTAAAACCAATGCTAATTAGTCTGAATTCGAATTATTTGTACCGGTACTAACGTCAATTCCTTTCTAATTTTCGAACTGAACTCGACATTTGGACAGAGAATATGCGCATGAAATTTTTATGACAATATGGCCAATAAAGATAGCCGGAATAGCTAAATGTAGACCGGTGTTGTAAAATCGGAAAATTAAAAAATCACAGATAAGGGGTCGTTGTCTCTGGAGGCGTCCCGCTTTGAAGTCACAAAAACATGGTAACACTACCCATGAAGTCGTCATTCGGGAAAAACTATTAGCAAGTTTCTTCTATAGGCTCTTGTGGAGAAAAATGTATTGAGTTTATCGGCAACCAGTCTGTCACCGTAGCACCCTTTCTAGTTTTTAATTATGAGATGGAACATGAAAGTATCATTTCTAGACTTCATCGTAATATTGTCATCTTTTTCCGTGTGCTTTTACACTTCCTCGCTTGTTTTCGATGACATTACGACAAACTAGCTCATTTGATTTCCTCTGCAACTGAATTAAGATATTTCTATACTTTTTAAAGAAGTGGATGATTGTTGTTCAACCATTTCAGATAACGAAGGGAAAGATAATGGCCGTGAGACAAGGCCCTGGACTGGAAATAATTCTAAAATGTTCCTTAGAAATTTAGTAACAAATATTACCTTGTACCAATTTCCAAAAGTTGCACCTTCTACGAAAAAGACGATTTTACTACAAGAAATATGTGCCACGGTTCTGTCCTATATTCTCTACTTTTCCGGCAACATGGTCAATGAACGCAGACTTCTGCGTGACGTAACAATTAAAATTCGATGAGCTGTTGGCTGGCGGATGAATCTCAGTTATTACTACTCGATCTTGCATTGAGTTGGGTAGTCTTTCCATCGTCTTTTTTAGTTAATATTAGTTAAGTTATGCGAAGACGATCTTAAAAAGTATAAGTAAGTTATTAGACACCTGCAGACCATGGGTATAGGTCGTGAGACGAGGCATTGGAAAACGCCCATACAATGAGTTTCGTAGCGCACATCTGGTAACTAAATAAATTCTTTAGTTTTGTATGAAAAATTAATATACTGAACGCATTACAGCTTGTTCCACAATCCTTATGCAAATTGAATATAAAGAAGTTCCCAGAAAATTAATAAACATAGGTTTATTACAACACAGCATAAGAACTATGCAATCCAAGAGCCCTGCTGCACACTAACACATATGTATTTCTGTAACGTTTTGTCTGACCAAAATCTTCTATAACAGCATAAGAAGTTGCATTTATTTTATAGAAGCTATCAAACGTATTCATTTTTAAGCAATGAAGTCATAAATTAACATCGTGAGAACAAAAACACAAATAAATCAGTTATTTCTCACTTAGGAATTTACCGGGAAGTCAAGAAAATTAAATGAATACTGTATGTACATAACCGTAAATATATACAACACAGTAAACAGAAATACTGTATTACAATTAGACTTTTTTCAGTTTACGTGGTTGTGTATTTGAAACAAAGGCAATATTATTTATAAAAACGGGACTTTCGACACTAACAGATGTCCGAAAAAAATAAATGAATAATATGTATTAAATCAACTTCACTATCTAATTCACTTTCTTCTGAATTGCACGGAAATCCACATTCGCGAATTTAGGTTGTTTGTGGCACACATGCAGTGAACAACCATATTCCTCAGCTTTGTTTATTAATGCATCGTTAACCTCAAAAGATCTTCATCTTCAATCAGCCTAAATGGACAGTATCAATTGCAAACGAGTACCAAAGAATTTCAATATGAATAGCCCATCTAAGCTGTTTGCAACTGTCATGATTCTCATGTACCTTTACGCATTTCTTCAAGACTTCTTCTTCGATCCATTTTATTCTTACAGGTATAGCGCTGATAGCAGCGGCAATTAGAGTCATGTCGCTATTAAAAGGCAATGGTAACCTAAAATTTGCCGTTTATCTTGGTTACTTTAATTTTTTCATACGTGCTTCCTCCTCTGCCCTTTTTCTTCGTTTCTGTGGCCCACTGAGAGGTTTTGCTTTCGACATCATTCTGACAGCCTTCGTAATTTCGCCGGTGCGATCAAACCACAAGACGCCGGAAATCGACGACTCCCTGGCATTTTTACGTAACAAAACGATTTGAGCAGAACTAACATCAACGTTATAAAATGTGCATTACTGGTTTTGCAATGCAGCTTTTGGTTTTGCGGCTTAAATTTATAAATTCTAACCGCTTGAGCCCCTTTGTGCTGTGGGCCCTCCCGCGACCGCGGGGGTTGCGGAGGTGGATGCTACGTCACTGAGCATGAGTGTTTTTTGACAAATTAAAATACCACTCAATGCTGACTAATACTTCTCACCCATAATGCATTTTATCTGGTGTACTTTAGTCTGGCAGTATTTGCATACTAGACTATATCTACACTGATTTCGATAAATCACATAAACTGAAATGCCCTGTATATTTCAAAACATCAAATGTCAGCCTACAACTGGATACATCATTTCTCACCTCTCAATCGCTTCATTTTTACAACTTATGCATGACTTATCATTGCTGCCTAGGTTCTTGACCACTTTATGAATTTATACAAACTGTCTTCAGTAAAATTGATTACTCTTTTTTACAAACAAACATTACACAAACGGTCATTACGGTATTTCCTAAAAAAAATAAATACCGCACTCATAAATTATTCCAGGGTTAGCAATATTTATGTTTTGCTAAATTAAAATCTGTTTATTCGTAAATATATACTACTAGGTTTATTCAAATTTATCACAGTGTTGTGTTTGTGGCAAGCCGGCAACGACTAACATAGTTTGTGCATAGATTTTACATAACAACATTGTTATGCCGTAAATATATACTACTACAGGTTATGCCAGGGTGGTCCAAGGTTGTCGGCTCCGCGGGCCACAAAATTATTTTTGCATCGTTCGCGGGCCACAATAGTGCCAAGAATAGGTAAACAGTGCAATTCAAAACAAACATTTTTATTGTGCAATCACATAGTTATCAGTCATAGTTATTCTAGGCTAATAGAATCCCCATTTAATTTTTAGTTTTCTATGATGCCTATATTGTTAGCATATATTTCCGACCAAAAAGTTAGAAAGCCAGATAACAATTTAGACTGCCAAGCACATCATTCAACTTTTTTTTCGATTAATTTTATGACGAAACAACACGTACTGCGATTTTTTGATTAGTCTCCAAATGTGACGCGGGCCATGGATATTGAGGCGACGGGCCACCACCCAGGGTTATGCATTGTCTCTGGTTTGTGCAATGAGCATATATGCTCATTGGTTTGTGGTAATAAAATCTCTCAATGTGCCGATCAATCATGCGAGACGGTGCCGGATTCAAACTCAATTTCCTTAGCAACGGCGTTTATGCTGGGATGGGAATGGCGCTGATGGCTTTTTCATACGTATTCTAGTAAATTATCGTACGTAATGAAATAAAGCATGAATAGACTATCAAGAGACGACGTACTTGTACGTGCCAAGTTGGCGGAACAAGCTGAGAGGTTTCGGGACATGTCACAAGCAATGAAAGCCCTTGCAGAAATGGGCACTGATTTAACGAACGACGAGAGAAATATGTTCTCCTTTGGTTATAAGAACGTTGTTGGAAAACTGTGAGTAACAAAATAATAATTCAAGAACTGCTAGATGACTAGAGAGTTGGAAGGGGTTCCGCCCTTCTTGGTTCAGTTCAGATGTCTGAATCAAGTCCATGCACTGATGCAGCCATGCATCTAAAAACAAATATCCATTAATTACCGGTATTTAACGGTGTATACGTATGCATGTATGTCTATTTGCCTCAAAAATATAACAGTATCTACATAATAATTAAACAGTAAAACAGAGACGAAAATACATGTTCAAGACCTTACTGGCCTAAGACACAGATGTGCGACATACACCCCTACTAACAATTATAACAGCAGTTGAGGACTGCTGCGTTATAATAGAACAACAGACATGAAATAGGCTATACAAATAAAACTCTAGTAAAATACACAAGACAATGAGATATGACACAACGACGATATGTACAATATAGTCAGTTAGTTTATAGCATGTCCATGTTCCGCTGTGAGAGGATGAAGATCGGGTATGGGTCGCCAGAATGGTATGTTTTTACAATGAATCTCACGAAACACGTAAAGATTTGTTCGGGACATAAACTTGCCAGAAACCAACGTTAGATGGGACAACGACACAAGTAAAAGAAGTTTAAAGGGGAAATGTAGAAATCCTTTGTTTAGGCTTGAGTTTGTTAATCATTGTTTGCACTGGACAAAAGTAACATACAATAGAGAGTCTAGCATAAAATACGAGCCAATTTCATGAGCGCTATTGTTTGAAATTTCATGGCCAATTTCATGAGCGCTATTGTTTGAAATTTGTTGTCTTGTCGTCATGTCTCAGCATGATAAGTATAATTTCTATTGAATGATCTAGTTTGCATAATTGACGACTGGCTAACTATTCCCATACTTGAAATGGACTGGTAACTGGTTGAGAAGCTGTGGTTCGTCATATAATTAAGCCATTTCATTGGCTTTTTTTTATCCTCAGGATAAATATGTAACTATTGATTCTATCGGTAGGCCAAGTAGTTAACGTTATATCATTTTCGTCACAAAAAAGTAGTTTCTCAGACTTGAAGGATTAAAAATTCACGCCATCCTCGTCCGTGACCAAAATTCAACTGATTTTAATTCAGTTAATAAGCAATACTCGTGCACATTGTTTGTTATAACAAGTTTTCTGTTCAGATATATTTACCTTTTTTAATATTTAAGGAGATCGTCATGGCGTGTTGTTTCAAGTATGGAACAGCAATGTGAAGAAGAAGAGCCTTGGAAGTTTGAAAAAATACAAATTTATCGTGAAAAAATCCAAGCAGAAATTGAGGCCACTTGCCTGGAAGTGTCTCAACTTATTGATAATCATTTGATGAGGTTGGCCTCTAATGATGAAGCTAAGGTATTTTCAATTACATTTGTCAGCCATTTTCGTAGTTAATTTAGATTTACTATGTAATTTAAAGGTGGGTTATCACAGAAAATGTGATGAATTAGATTTTATATATTTTTCAGGAATTTTGACGCCTGCTATTTACATAAAGTAAACTTAAGTTTTTTACTCTAGTTTTCTACTATGAGTTTTAGGTAAAATTGACCACAGTTTGGAAATTATGTTTGATGATGTGATACTGAGAAAGGCATACAAAACATGAAATGCAGCTGATTTGAGACAAATAAATTAGTCTAGTATGCTTTATTTCACCCGAAAATATGTCACAGAAATAGGTGAGCACAGAGTTGGTATATTTTAATCTCAGTTTGCAAAGTTCAATTTCATTTTTATTATTTTCTGAAGATATTGGTACATGTATAAACCTACAACAGCGTTTTGCAAATACAACTCCCAATAGAACTAGCATACTATTCGAAATATGAAAACTGAACCTTGTAAATTCCTTTAATCTAAATGCAAAATTATGCCGATGAGTTCTCAGTACCATGTCATAAACGGACCATACTAATTATCTGCCAATTTGTGCTGGGTTATTGTCAAGTCATGCAAACGAAGTCCATTTTATGTATGCGGTGAACGCCAAAAATCTTAACCTATATTAAATTAAAACCACAAAAAAAGTTTTGCAAAATAACCCACATTTAAAGTATTGCTGCACACTATCACAAATGTATTTCTATGATTGTATGAGTAAGACTCCTTTGGAGAAGCATTTCAACTGTTACAAGACATGCACATGAATAATGGTTATCTGACTATTGAGTTTGTTCTCAATAGAGAGAATTAGAATTATGGGAACTTGAAGAACAATACGGGAGTCACAGTATTCTTCTAGAACCCAAACGCAGGGTTGGGGAGCTACAGCTTGTGATGATGTAGTCGTTTTTTTAAAGATTTCCTCTAAATTGTCCTTTTGTGGTACTTATAGATGTGCTATAGGTGTTAAGTCAGTAGGATCCATTGTGATACAGAATCATCTCAAAAAATCTGCGTAGCTATGGGGTTGAATAACACTATTCATAACATAGGCCTCCCTCGGACCAGCAGATGAAATGTTACAGAAAAGCATTCATCTTAGTGTACAAGACTTAAATCACACGGAATGGTAATCTTTATACCTGAACCTGCTACAGCATTTTCGCATTATATGCTTACGAATACACTACCGCAGCAGTTCCCAAAGGGTGTGAATCTGCTAATTGCTCTCCGGAAGTTAACAGAATTGTGTTAAACATATCTATGATATGATTGAATATGTTACATATTTTATTCATCATAAATGTTTTATTGTTTCTTTTTTAAAATGCTGTGCATATGAATCAATCACTTCATTCTATGTCGCTTACTTTCTGTTACGTAGTGTCTCACTTTATCGTTATGTGACAATAGGCAATTGCACTACTAGCTGCAATTTTGTGAGTTGCAGTTTATTTATCTGCTGAACCGAGATTAGCAAACATGAGTAATTTTTTTATTATTTAAAAGAAAGCGATGAGGGAGAAAAGACCTTTTTCCTAAGCCCACATATTTACAAACTTTGACAGGGCATGAAGTACACATTAACGTTCACAAAATTGAGTTTTATTCAAGGGCAGCACTTTTTTTCTGTGTAAGTGCGCCGTGAGTTTTGTCCTAATAATTTGGTGCCGCACGAACAAAAAGTTTGGGAACTACTGCACTAGCGCATAGGGGAAGGATTGGTCTCTGTGTTATTTTCCGTTAGTAATCAAACTTGTGAATTTGACTGCGTTTCAATTTTTGCTATGTACGCTATTGCTATTTAAAATAGCTAGGTCAAATATTTGAAGATCTTACAGGATCAGAAAAAGTACTATCTCACTTTTTAAATTTAAATAAATTTTTTCATTCTATTCAAAATTTTCTACAATTCTTAGGTGTTTTACCTGAAGATGAAAGGTGACTATTTTCGCTATCAAGCAGAAGTAGTTGGTGATCCAGATAGGAGGAGAAAGATAGTTAGCACCGCTGATAGGGTAATGTTTATATTTGTTAAAGGAAAACATTCTGTCATAATAACTTGATGCTGTAAATGTTTCAGTCATATAAAGAAGCAATCGAAGTTGCAGAAAGTTCTTTACGGCCAGTGAACCCAATTCGACTCGGCCTCGTTTTGAACTACTCCGTTTTTTTATATGAAGTGAAAGCTGCAAACAAACGGGCTATTAAGCTTGCAAAGGAAGCCTTTGAGGAGGCATTGCAAGAGTTGGATGCTTTCCGGGACGATGCATATAAAGACTCAACCATAGTTATGCAACTTATAAGGGACAATGTCAGTATGTGGTCATCTTCAGATGGTCCACCAATTGATTTGTTACCTGATTGATATTGCTTTCTAACGATACAATTATTTGTGCAAATCTGTTTCAAAGTTTTTACACAGATACTAGATCAGATCTTCATACTGGGATTAAAATTTATTTGGTATATCCCCACTAAACTGTCTTTAAATCTTCTTCAAATAAACTTTTCAAAATTTCATTCAATGAAGGCTTTGTATATAGTATATTTACTTCATTTTGGTTTTGTTTCGATGCATTCTCCAATTTGCTGCTTAATAGACTATATATATAACTGCACTGTGATGGAGAAGTCAAAAATACAATTGTTACTTTATACCCACGACAGCATGGACCACTAGTAGGCTACAAATTGCTTATTGGTGGGATTTTTGCCAAAAAATGTTTTTATAAACTGAATTTTATTTCTAAATTGAATAATTTGTTTTGTTTCGATTTTGTGATTATACACTGTATGTATATAACTATATTATAATACTAGTGTTGGAATATTTTGTTCTGCAAACCGACTTACAAGATCTTACTGCCAGGAACTGAGTTACTACCGTATTTCCCCGAAAATAAGACAGGGTCTTATTTTTCCTATTTCAATTTTCTTTCGAAAAATAACACTAGGGCTTAATTTTTGGGAATGTCTCATATTTTCATTTATCGAAGACAAAATCACAAAGTAGAAGGTTACTCATAGCAATAGTGTGAATGAACACTATGATGGTCAGACCAACTAGAGTACTAGACTATAGTCATTTTCAAGGAACATTTCAGTAAGACATCTACTTGCCGTCTTGTGGTGTATATACAAGTGATAGCGAATCGCTGACCCGTTGGTCACTAAGTGACCCACCGTCCACCCAATCACGAATTAATTAACGCTTCCTTACAGGGTTCCTTCCCAAGCACATGAGCCAAGGGGAAACGCCACACACGCGCGGCGGTGTGGCTCAACGGGCTAGGCGTTAGGAATACGCTCGCCACCGCACCTCTAACTACTCTGCGTGGGTTCGCAGGTTCGAATCCCATGCAGGGGTGGTTATGTGTGAGAGGATTGCTGGACTCCTCGCCGTTGTTGGGTGGTTCACGTAACCGCTGGTCGGTTACGGCTTCCTCCACCACCAAGTCCATGCTTCCCAAAACAAACAATACAGTAAAACTAATCCCATACCCGACTTGGAATGGTAACCGGACGAGAGGCCGTGGTTCGCCATATGGATAAGCCGTCTTATCGGCTTTACTCTCCCTCGGGATAAATATGTAATTCCTATCCTATCTTATTTGAGGGTATAGGAAAACTAAATACTGCTATGTAGTTCAGTATTTTCCCGCCAGCAATGGCGTTTGGGAACCAAATAATATAAAAGTAAACTATCGACTACTGAAATGACAATGGAGTAGGATGAATAACATTAATCATATTGATGCGTCTCAAATGGCCGGGGTTTATAAGACTATCAGCCGGGGTTTATAAGAAATACAAATGCATTGTCGGTGTTAGGATTTATTGTGTATGTATCAAAGTTGGATCATTTGTAATTAATTACAGTTTTTCATGTAATTGAGTCATTTTTATTCTGTGTAATTGTAATTTGCTAAAATGCCTGCTCAATTACACCAGGGGTCACCAAACTACGGGTCCTTTTATCTGGCCCGCAGTAACACGAAAATGGGCGGAATATTTTTTCAGGGGACGTTTTCCGAAAATCGCCTTCCTTTTTTATTTCGTTACATTAGCCAATCAGCAAGAAAAAGTGACGTAACAATATGCCTTTTCGCATCCGTTAAGACACTCAGACAGATTTTCAGTCGTGGTTGTAAACATTACCTCATTTTGCGATATCGAATGCTATTCGTTAGTTTTTAGTTGTGTTTCGGAAATTTAAGTTTGAATCAAATGAGTGAATCATCATATTGCCTTCTTAGGAGTTGCAGTTTAATAAATAGTAGTAAGCTGTGATAAAATAGGCTAAATTCATGGGAACACGGGCTGTCTGGTTTGATTCTGTAAATTCTTGCTACGAAAAAATATCGGAATTTTTTTGAGGGTAGCGGTAGCATCCAAGGGGGTACTCCTGAACTATGCGCACCAAGATGTCGCACAACCTGAACCATATCCTGGTACACAACCTGAGTTCAGGTTGTGCGCCATCTTGGTGCGCATACTTCAGGAGGTCCGTCAAGGGTAGGGACTGCTTCGCTCTGTGTAACGTGTTCATATATTTGAGCATTGCTCTGTTGTAATTGTAATGCAATTGTAACTTGATATTTTCTGCACGGAGTAATTGTAATGTAATTGAAATATTCAAGAGAGTAGTTGTAATTGATCTGAATTAATGTAAGTGATCCAACTCTGGTATGTATAACCACATTTGCCACTACATACTCGAGTATCGCCCTAGTTACACTGAGTCAGAATGTTAAATTTTGATTCGGTCCAGTCGTTCATATGTTTCAATATTGAAACGATACCATCGATTCAATCAAATTATATTTTAGACGACAAAATCATTTGCTGTATGCAATCAAATCGCTTATATATATTATTTTAACAGCTTGGTGGAACTCATGCTTCTACATGCGATGTCGAACATCTTTGACCCCATCTCAACACTCAACACTGCGAATCTCAAACGACAGCAATGCCAACATTGAGACCATACAAAGCTTTATTTGAGGTAGCGATAAAATAAATATAATTTCTATTTATTTTTTCACGGTGAGCATGATAACATGTTATAGTTTTTGGAATTAAAAATAAGTTGTATCGCGACCTCATGACAAGCGGAAAGCTGTTAATTGAATGATTACAGCATAACGAAATTTACGGGGCATAAAGTTTACACGATAACACAAATCAAAAATTTTCTTTCCAGAATTAATAGATGGGACGCGGTCTACCAACCAGTCTTTCGTATGTAAAGTCCAGTATCTTTGGCCATGAATCTTGTTGTGCTTTAGCGTGATATGGTTGCACACCACCAACTTTATGAGGTTCGCCTAAAGTCCATGCTACATCAGTGTGGGGATTATACGAATGCTCGATTAAATGTCCTGCTTTTGGATAAAATAAAATCTCGCAGTCCGGATGACCCGATAGTTCCAACTTCCGCCTCAAAGGTTTCAGAGCTATTTCAGCTGGCACGTATGTGTCATCTTCCGCAATTACAAACATATACGATGTGTTACGGCGTCTGTAAAAATGAAATATGTCACTATCATGAACATCAATCGTTTCTTCATTTGCTGCAGGTTTGTATTCGTAATACCAGTGTATTAATCCGTCTTTATCTACATTTACGGTTTTCTTGAGGTTTTTAGATGTTGACCACTTTTCATCGCCATATCGGAATTTTCCAAAGATGAATGGCCAGCCGTTGATTGTGGTGACGCATCTGACAAGATTTTCAGGGACAACACTCGCAGTTGCTAAGCCGATAAGACCACCAAAGCAATTGGCAATTATACCAACACCATTCCTTCCGTCAACTTTAGGATGAGATTGTAAGAGAGTGCAAGCTTCCTCAATGTAGCCTATATCTACATCCATGTTTTCCTTGGGTAAATCATCTTCACCAAAGTATTTCAAAGCTAATGCTGCAAATCCTCGAGAAGCCAGTAGAGCGGCCTTGAATTTCATGGCACCTGGAAATCCTCCGCTCATGCTTATCACACCTACATGCACAAATAAAATACAAGCATACATCCTGAAAGTGAAATAATATTGCTTACTTTTCGTCACGAATTGAAGTCGAGATATTTTACTTTGCGATAATATTATATTTTACCTGGAAAAGGCCCATTTCCTTCAGGGAGATAAAGAGTGGCCCTCACTCTTCCTTCCCAAATACTGATTTCCTGCACGTTTGGGGACATATATGTTCTTTCAATAGACAAATTCGGTGGGTTCTTTACCAAACCTTGATCGGCGATTGATTCGAGCGAATGACAAAAGTTATCATATGTACGAAAATCGACAGTAAATGGTGTCTTTGGTTCTTTTATCATGAAGCGTTCATATTTACGCTGTAAATATTTAATGAGCAAAAAGATATTATATTTCGAAAAATTAGAAAATATTTACAAAGTCTGGTTCTATGAGAAAACGTTCATACCTTATTTAACGGGGAAGATACTAAATGACTTATAGGACCCATTCCATCTATTCCTTCGAAATTTCCACCGTGCGAAGGATGTTGGTTCAGAATGATACATCCTGAAAATAAATTCCAGTACATTTCACACATCCATGAATTGTGGAATTGTCAACGACAATAATAACATTTGTATTAAATAACCTATTTCAAAACAATGATTGTAGCATGAAGGTATAATGACCAAATTATTAAAAGTTGAACTTTGTGGATCTATGAATGAATCTAACTGACGAGCCAAGTAGCGAATGTATTTTGTCGTATTTTTTTATTAAATGTTTTAATTCATTTGAATACTGTATTCACAATATTCACAGCACATATCAATTAGCATGAGGTCTGAATAACAGATTGCAAGAAAGGGTTGAAATACCAACTTGAAATAGGATTTTCTATTTAGATGAAGGTGATCGAATATCATAAAAACCTGATTCATCAGCAATATAATGCGAAAAGCTTTCAAATATTGACCCGCTCTGTAGACGTGAAAATGCGTGCAACGTTATTTTCTGAAAAGCTTCAAGACCTAAAGTTAAACAAGCACATTATTTATTAGCTATTTGTAATTTACCAATATTAGGTGACATATTTAAAATACATGAATCAATTTTCTAATCATTTTTCGAGTTCATATAGTTACACTAAAGGTTTCGGTCGATATGCAGTTATTCGGGCTATCCTTCAAAAATACCTAAAAAATGCCGATTTGTGGGCATAAATGATATTCTAATCAAAATATTTATCACCACAAATATAAAGAATATATATTTTGTTCACTATTGCTATATGAGTTATATCAGTATAGCTTTGTCATTCGTGAAAATGGAAGGCTGTTGAGAATAACGACCATAATGGAGCGGATAGATTTCTTGAAACGCACATTCACCAGACGATACTTCCAATTTTTATGTGAACCATACATACCTGAAATGCTGACAGAAACCGCTTCGTCGGCCAATGATGTTTTCTTGTCGACAGAAACATTAGCGGTACCGATGTATCCATGACTTGCATTTGTGATACTTCTAACAAGCAAACATGAATTGAGCACTTGTCTTGTCAAATACCTCGATCGTCTTGCTAACATTATGACTGAAATATAGCAAGCAGGCTTGACGACTTCTCTAAAAGTCTGTAAACGAGGTTCAACGGAAGGCAGCAGCAGCTTTGCTAATTATTCCAACACGACTGTATTTTTCTATCTAAAACCGCTAGCTGAAATGCAATTCCTAGAAAATATATAATATGACCAATTTTCGAATGTCAAACCTAACACTAAATGCAGACTGCAAGTGGACAGTAGAAGGTCATTTATCTGTCGTCAGAGTAAATAATTATACCTCCGCAAAGAAAACCAGTCAAGAGTACGAATTTATACACTGCTAAATCTGATACGTTTGTAATAAACGCGAACCGAATGATCAATTATATATTCACTTTACCTCTGCTCTGTGTTACGCACTGGTGCGAGAAGAACATCATTCAATGAATCAGACTTTGACCCGGTCCGACGTTGTTGGGATGGCCTGAAGAAACGGTTCTGTATGAGGGCAATATTTTAAAATACATGACTTTTATCGCAAACCACGGAGCTATCGACCATGGACCGTACAACATTATATTCGCACATTTGTATTAAACATAATTCTCGCGAACTGCCCTACCTTGCAAAAGTTCGCAAACCTTTGCCGTGTAATCATATTTTACTGAATATAGTTCGCTCACGGCTGGTTCGCTACGCATGAGGGATGCGTTACTACGTCAGTTTGCTATATTTTGAAGCTTACGGAAGAGGATTTCCGATGGAATTTATTTGCATATTTGGAATGGTTTTGTTGGTTGAAATAACTGAAAAGATATACTGAGGCATTAGGATAAAGTAAGGGGTCGTGGCATCCGCCAATCATCTCTGCGTCGGTACCATAAGTTATCAAAGTGGAGTAGGGGCAGAGTATTTCTGCTGTTCTGTGAGTGCCTTTATCGGATGGTAATTAAGGATTTATTCCAGGATTATAGCACACAAGTAAGAATTCAGATATTCCCAAGTAGGGATGGGCGATATAGATTACCGAATCCGGAGGATTTGAATCCCTAAGACTCGGTTTTTGGCTCCGTGCGTCAATTTTTGTATTTCGAAATTCTAATTTATTATCAGGGACGAGCGTTATTCTCTCGCGGCGAAATCTATCTCGCGTGATTATACAGTACTTGTGTTTTCTCGCAAAGAGCCCCAAACGTGTTTGCGGCAGATATCAACCACGGTAATCCAAGCCTGAATATTCAGAACGCGAAGACGGCGTTATTGCAACGCTTTATTTATTATCATTGGTGCCGACTGCCATACTACAGGCGATTTTTCGATTGCAATAATCTTAATTTTTTGGAATAATGAAACATTCTTTATTTTATATTGAATGACTTTTCGAGTTCTCCCGGAAAATGATGAGTACCGACGTTAGAAAATAAAACATTATTTGCGATTAATTTAGATCAAATTTTACTTTTCATGACACCCGGTTTCCGAAAATACGAAGTTATAACCCAAAACAATGCGCTTTGCCACATTTATTTTGCGCTTCTAATAATAAACATATATCTTGGATTTCGAGTCGCTGATGAATCTGTTCATATCGCCCAAGCGCGACACATGCCTGGTCGAGTGCTATTTTAGTCGACGATAAATTAAAAAAGTTGTGATGATAACTGGAAATTAAAATTTGGTAACAGAAATGAATTTGTCTCAAGATGTTATTATATGAAATTTTGTTCTCAGGCGAGAGTTCACAAGATGCCCATTCTTGTTGCTTTATAATGATGTAATATTTTGTTGTCAGTGGCGTAGCAAGACTCTCGTGCCCCCCCCCCCCCCCCCCCGCAAAAATATTTCGTGGAAATGACCCTAAAAACTCTCGGACATAAGCTAAAACAAAGTTTTTTTATTTCGTCAAAAAGCATAACATGTCGCTATAAAAAGGCAATGATAACCTATAATTTGCGCTTTCGTGTTAGCAAACTCATCTACCATCTTCGTCATATCAATTTTTTTCAATTTGCTTCAAAAACCAGTAGCTTACCTGTGATAATTGTCGCGTAAGTTTTGGAAGAAAATTCATTTGCGCCGGCGCCATCACTTTTGGAGACTGAACACGCATCTGGTTTTCTACCGATACCACCGGTGCTAGGCTTATATTAATTCCTCCTCAGTTACGTTCGGTATTCCCAAGTCTAATTGTTTCAATTTTGGTTTAAATATTTCGTTTATCTTGGTTACTTTAATTTTTTTCATATGCTCTTCCTCTTCTGCCCTTTATTCTTCGTTTTTGTGCGCCACTAAGAGGTTTTGCTTTCGACATCAATCTGACAGCCTTCGTAATTGTGCCGGTGGCCGGTGCGATCAAACCACACGACACCGAAAATCGACGACCCCGGCATTGTTACATAACAAAACGATTTGAGCAGAACTAACATCAACATTATAAGATGTGCATTACTGCTTTTGCAATGCAGCTTTTGGTTTTCTTAAATTTCTAAATTTTAACCGCTTAGGGCCCCTTTTCGCTGTGGGCGCGACCGCGGGGGTTGCGGGGGTGGATGCTACGCCACTGTTTGTTGTTAATACGATGCACAATAACCTGTTTCTTACGATGTTACAAAAACGCTGACGAAATAGGTTTAGCATGAGTGACAACACGCGTTGAAAATGATTATCTAGGTTAAAGTTATGGTCCATGAATGTTTTCTCGGTCACTGATTTCTTTATTTATGCCGTCACAATGGCCAATCAGCATTAGTCGCAATGGCTTTACATTTGCAATCGGCGTGGTCGCTCGAAAGAAACTCGGGCATGGTTGTAAACATCGCCTTGTTTTCTTGGTTTAACGTAGCCTATTATTTGACAGCTTTCGTGTTCCAAAAAAAAATAGTTTCAAGTGAATCGAATAACTTGCAATAATAAAAAATTGATACCGCAAACGCTGCGATAGACTTGCCTGAACACATGTGATCGGCACGCGGTTCAATGTTTTGAACGAAAATTTTAATGATGTGAGCCAGTTTATAAGATATAAGTGCTAGCTCTCCATCTCAAATGGAGAGTTAAAATTTTGCAACGGTATGGTATAGATGAATTTTTCATAGGTTACGAGTCGAGGAAAAATCCACATGTATAATATCTGTTAGAAAATGAACTGCTTTTCCCTCATAAATTCATTTGCACGTCTCCATTTTGTAAACTGTATTTTCAACCTCGCAGTTGTAAGTATGTCAGAAGGGATTGGTTGTGACGTTTGAAGGGGTGGAGCAAACCAAGAAGTCTGTAATAGTTGTGTATTTCCAACACACAGTAAATTGATTTTTGCATAGCTCAATAGTGATGAAGTAAACAATTAATTGAGATTATACGTTACGTTATGTAAACGTTTGAGTCGAAAATACATTTGAGCGCCAAAAAACATACGTTTATTGCGTTTAGTTTTGGGTAAAATTCAATTTGTATTTACCAAGTATCGCGAAGTTACGGGAAACGGAGAATGTATGATGACGATTATCTCAAGTATTGGTTCATACATACTATGGTGAATTGCAAAGTTTTACTCCGATGTGTATTATGACTATAAAAATTTGAGCAATTACAGTATCAGACCAACTCAGTTACAGCGCCATCATTGAACAAAGAAACCTACCCATTGCAAGCGCATATGACTTTTTTCAAAGAAGGAGGGGGGGGGGGGGGGCGAAGTTTGTACGATTTTTCAAAGGGCTCAAAAAGTTCAGAAACCACTGCCCTAGTTACACGGCTAAAGGCACGGCAGAATGTTGAATTTTGATTCCGTCCAGTCGTTCATATGTTTGAATATTAAAACGATATCATAGATTTAATCAAATTATATTTTAGTTCACAATATCAGCTCCTTCTGTGAGAAATCACATAATCCAAATTGCAATATACAAGTCGATTTGAGTGCGTGTTGTGACCTCATGCTTATTTGAATATGGGGACACCCTAACACTAATTTCGCTTTCACCTAATCTATTCGTTGTCTGGCCATGCTTTAATCTGATTTTGTGAATCGGATAAACGACAGCAATTTCCAGCATGGAAATCACACAGAGCTTCATTTGAGGTAGCGATAGAAATAAATATAATTCATATATATTCATTTATGGTGATGATAACATGTTATAGTTTTTATAAATGAAAAATAAGTTGTAACGCGACCATAACGCGGGGCATATAAAGTCTGCACGATATATACTACAAACAAAAATATTTTTGAAACTCTTCAGAATTAACGGCGGGGACGCGGTCTTCCAACCAGTCTTTCGTATGTAAAGTCTAGTATCTTTGGCCATGAATCTTGTTGTGCTTTAGCGTGATGTGGTTGCACACCACCCACTTTATGAGGTTCGCCTAAAGTCCATGCTACATCAGTGTGGGGGTGATACGAATACTCGATTAAATGTCCTGCTTTTGGATAAAATAAAATCTCGCAATCCGGATGGCCCGATTGTTCCAACTTCCGCCTCAAATGTTTCAGAGCTAGTTCAGATGACACGTATGTGTCATCTTCCGCTACTACAAACATATATGATGTGTTACGGCGTCTGTAAAATTGAAATATGTCACTATCGTGAATATCAATTATTCCTTCTTTTGCCGCAGGTTTGTAATCGAAATACCATTGTATTAACCCGTCTTTATCTACATTTACAGTTTTCTTGAAGTTCTTTGATGTTGACCACTTTTCATCGCCATATCGGAATTTTTCAAGGATGAAAGGCCAGCCGTTGATTGTGGTGACGCATCTGACAAGATTTTCAGGGACAACACTCGCAGTTGCTAAACCGATAAGACCACCAAAGCAATTGGCAATTATACCAACACCATTCCTTCCGTCAACTTTAGGATGAGATTGTAAGAGAATACAAGCTTCCTCAATGTAGCCTATATCTCCACTCGTGTATACCTTTGGTAAATCATCTTCACCAAAATATTTCAAAGCTAATGCTGCAAATCCACGAGAAGCCAGTAGAGCGGCCTTGAATTTCATGGCACCCGGAAATCCTCCGCTCATGCTTATCACACCTACATGCACAAATAAAATACAAGCATACATAATGAAAGTGAAATTATATTGCTTAATATTCGTCACGAATCAAAGTCGAGATATCTTACTTACGATAATATTAAAGTTTACCTGGAAAAGGCCCATTTCCTTCAGGGAGATAAAGAGTTGCCCTCACCCTTCCTTCCCAAATACTAATTTCCTGCACGTTTGGGGACATATATGTTCTTTCGATAGACAAATTTGTTGGGTTCTTCGCCAAACCTTGATCGGCGATTGATTCGAGCGAATGACAAAAGTTATCATATGTACGAAAATCGACAGTAAATGGTGTCTTTGGTTCTTTTATCATGAAGCGTTCATATTTACGCTGTAAATATTTAGTAAGCAAAAAGATATTATATTTCGAAAAATTATAAAATATTTACAAAGCCTGGTTCTATGAGAAAACGTTCATACCTTACTTAACGGAGAAGATACCAAATGACTTATAGGACCCATTCCATCTATTCCTTCGAAATTTCCACCGTGCGAAGGATGTTGGTTCAGAATGATACATCCTGAAAATAAATTCCAGTACATTTCACACATCCATGAATTGTGGAATTGTCAACGACAATAATAACATTTGTATTAAATAACCTGTTTCAAAACAATGATTGTAGCATGAAGGTATAATGACCAAATTATTAAAAGTTGAACTTTGTGGATCTATGAATGAATCTAACTGACGAGCCAAGTAGCGAATGTATTTTGTCGTATTTTTTTATTAAATGTTTTAATTCATTCGAATACTGTATTCACAATATTCACGGCACATATCAATATTAGCATGAGGTCTAAATGACAGATTGTAAGAAAGGGTTGAAATACCAACTTGAAATAAGATTTTCTATTTAGATGAAGGTGATCAAATATCATAAAAACCTGATTCATCAGCAATATAATGCGAAAAGCTTTCAAATATTGACCCGCTCTGTAGACGTGAAAATGCGTGCAACGTTATTTTCTGAAAAGCTTTAAGACCTAAAGATAAACAAACACATTATTTATTAGGTATTTGTAATTAATCATTATTAGGTGAAATATTTAAAATACATGAATCAATTTTCTAATTATTTTTCGAGTTCATATAGTTACACTAAGGGTTTCGGTCGATATGTAGTTATTCGTGCTATCCTTCAAAAATACCTAAAAAATGCCGATTTGTGGGCATAAATGTTATTCTAATCAAAATATTTATCACCACAAATATAAAGAATATATATTTTGTTCACTATTGCTATATGAGTTATATCAGTATAGCTTTGTCATTCGTGAAAATGGAAGGCTGTTGAGAATAACGACCATAATGGAGCGGATAGATTTCTTGGAATGCACATTCACCAGACGATACTTCCAATTTTTATGTGAACCATACATACCTGAAATGCTGACAGAAACCGCTTCGTCGGCCAATGATGTTTTCTTGTCGACAGAAACATTAGCGGTACCGATGTATCCATGACTTGCATTTCTGATACTTCTAACAAGCAAACATGAATTGAGCACTTGTCTTGTCAAATACCTCGATCGTCTTGCTAACATTATAGGCCGCGAGCCGAGGCCATTTATCTTTCAGTTTCGTAGCGCACATCAGGTAACTACCTGAAAATGATTTCAAAATGTTCGTTAGAAATTTAGTAACAAATAATGCCTTGTTCCCACTTCCAAAAGTTGCACGTTTTACAGAAAAGACGCTTTCACTACAATAAATATGTGTTACCATCTGTCCTATTTTCTCTGTTTTTCCGGTATCATGGGCCAATGAACGCAGACTTCTGCATGACGTAACAGTCAAGTTAGTCAGCTGTAGGTGGATCCCCAGTGGTCGGATGAATATCAGATGTACTACTATGTATGTATGCTCTACTACTACTGCTCGCTTTTGCGTTGAGTAGCCTTTCCATAGTTTTTTTCAGTTAACATTAGTTCAGTTATTCTAAGAAGGTGTTGAAAAGTATAAGTAAGATATTAAACACTTGTATATCCTTACCATAAATAACAATTTTAGTTGAGCACTAGCACGTTGTTAAATAGGTACGGTGCGGTAACTCCAAGGAAGGCTAGACTTAGAATAATATGTCGCAAACAACGATATTTTCTGGCTTGCATGAAATGTTTATGATTACCTTAATGACTCTTCTTGACTATTCAGCAGACTTATACTACTATATAGGCCACAGCATATTTGGAAATAGAAATTAATGGCTGTTTCTGTAATGCACGGTTGTGTGAAAGAGAAGAAGTTTATCAATTTTACTAATGTCGGTTGGTCTAAATCTAAATTCATAGAGTCGACAAGAACCTGGGAAGCAATGATAAGTTATGCCGGAGTGGAAAGAAAGGTAGCATTGGAAACGATTGAGAAGTGAGAAATCAAGTTGTAGACAGACAGTTGATGTTTTAAAATATAGTCTATAGTCCATACTCATACTGTCATAGGGCATTTCAGACTGTGATATATCAAAATTTAGTGTAGATATAGTCTAGTAATGGTATGCAAACACTGCTGGACTGTAGTACATGCAAGGAGCATATATACGCTCATTGAGTACATCAGATAAAATGCATTATTTATTCAAGGTATTAGTTAGTATTTAGTGGTATTTTTACACTCATGCTGCTCCAAATATGATTTTCTTCCTCATTTTAGATACTGTGCTACAAAAGAAAACGGCAATGTTCCACCAATCCGACCTAACGCAGGCTCTGATCCCTGCTGCTATCAGTGCTATAAAATGGATTAAACAAGAAGTCTTGAAGCTTAAAGGTATATGAGAATCATAATTGTTGCAAACAACTTAGATTTCATTCATATTGAAATACTTTAGCACTTTTCTGCAATTGGAACTGCCCATCAAACTTATGTTGGAGACTTCATTGAGGTTTTCAATTCATTTTTTTCCCTCGACTATGAAGATCTTTTGAGGTTAACGAGGCATTAATAAATAAAGCTGAGGAATTTGAAGAGGATATGAAGAATGTAAATAATACCAGGGCACGTCTATTTAACACTGCCAAACATAAGGATTATACTCTCCACCCAACAATGATTCACTGAAGAAGCATGTGGCCCTCAAATCAGTTCTTGAGTTACAAACTGCAAGTGTAAGAAAAATAGTCAAAATAATTTATGAAAGTGTGCCAAAATCAACTTAAATTGCACAGATTTTTGTTTTTGTATTGACTGCAAAAATCACAGTACACTTATAGAGGAAAAGTCGATTTTCGAGATAGGGGATTTCGAAAACAATTCAGAAGAAAGTGAATTAGATATTGCAGTTGATTTAATAAGTATTATTTAGTTGTTTTTTTTCAGACATTTGTTAGTGTCGTAGTCCTGTTTCTAGAAATAATATTGCCTTTATTCAAATACATAACCACATAAACTAAAAAAAGATTAATTGTAATATTTCTGTTCACAATGTTATGTACATATTGTACATTCATTCAATTTTCTTGTCTTTTCCGGTAAATTCCTAAGTGAGAAATAACTGATTTATTTGTGTTTTCGTGCTCTGCTTAAAAATAAATACGTTTGATAGCTTCTATAAAATGGATGTAGCTTTTTATGCTGTTCTTGTTGTAAACTGCGTGTGGTTATTAAATATAATTTATTCCCTAATGTGAATCAGCGTTGTTGGTGTCGCTGCTTTCGAGGTCACTCGCGACTCCTGTCACACAATTAAAGTATTTTTTGTTGTTGGTTACATGTACGCCATATTTTTCGTAATCTACCTAATAAATTATGATTGAGTGAGGAAGTCCGATTTTGGTCAGGCAAAACATTACAGGAATACATTTGTGATAGTGTCTTGTAGGGCTCTCGAATTGCATAGTTCTTATGTATGTGTTGTAAACTTATGGTTATTGAATTTCCGGGAACTTCTTATATTCAATTTCGCACCAGGATTGTGGAACAAGCTGTAATGCGTTCAGTATGTTCATTTTCATACAAAACTGAAGAATTTATTTTGTTACCAGATGTGCGCTACGAAACTCATTTTCTGGGCGTTTTCATGGCTTCGTCTCACGGCCCATATCCGTGGTAAGAATCTACAAGTGTTTAATAACTTACTTATACATTTTTCAACAACGTCTTAGCATAACTTAACTGATAATAACTAAACAGGGCTATGGAAAGGCTTCCCAACTCAACGCAAGGTCGAGCAGTAATGACTAATATTCATCCGCTCGCTAACAGCTGATACGATTCAATTGTTACGTTATGCAGAAGTCATTGTTCATTGCCGAAAATGTAGAGAATATAGGACAGATCGTAGCACATATTTCTTGTAGTAAAAGCGTCTTTTCCGTAAAACGTGCAACTTTTGGAAGTGGGAACAAGGCAATATTTGTTACTAAATTTTTAAGGAACATTTTAAAATCATTTTCAGGTAGTTACCTGATGTGCGCTACGAAACTCACTTTCTAAGCGTTTTTCAGGGCCTCGGCTCGCGGCCTATTATGACTTAAATATAGCAAGCAGGCTTGACGACTTCTCTAAAAGTCTGTAAACGAGATTCAACGAAAGACAGCAGCAGCTTTGCTTATTATTACAACATGACTGTATCTTTCTATCTAAAAACCCTAGGTAATACCTAAAATGCATTTCCCAGAAAATATATAATATGACCAATTTTCGAATGTCAAACCTAACACTAAATGCAGACTGTAAGTGGACAATAGGAAGTCATTTATCTGTTGTTAGAGTAAATAATTCTACCTCGACAAAGAAAACCAGTCAAGAGCACGAATTTATACACTGTGCTAGATCTGATACGTTTGTTATAAATGCGAAGCGAACGATCAAATATATATTCACTTTAACTCTGCTCTGTGTTACGCATTGATGCGAGAAGATCATCATTCGGTAAATCAGACTTCGGCCCAGTCCGATGGTCCGACGTTGTTGGATGGCCTGAAGAAACGGTTCTGTCAGAGGGAAATATTTTGAAATACATGACTTTTATCGCAAAACACGGAGCTCAATGCGAGTTGTGGGAAATCGTTTGAAGTTGGAATAAGGGGAAATTGAAGCGATCGACAATGGACCATACAACGTTATATTCGCACATTTGTATTAAACATAATTCTCGCGAACTGCCCTATCTTGCAAAAGTTCGCAAACCTTCGCCGCGTAATCATAGTTAACTATGATTAAATATACCTCGGTAAACGAAAACCCACGTTTGTTTTAAGTGCGATCGGTCAATTATATATTCACTTTAACTTTGTGTTGCGCATTGGTGCGAGACGAAATTCAATCGAATTTCGGTGTAGTCCATTGAGGTGTATTAACACATACACCTCAGTGGTGTAGTCCAAAGTGACTATAAACCAAGTGGAGACACCGTGTGCAATGATGCATATTGGACGCCATTTTGGGTTCGACGAATCTCGGCGCAGCCTCAGTCTGTTTTAGAGGGAGAGAGTGAAAGTTTAATTGTTTTGTCCACCAAAAAATATACATAAAGTCAGTCCGCTGATCAGGTTTTGTTTGTTAATTTGTTAGCTATGCAACTTTGAAACCTCATATCTCACGAACCTTACATTATATTTAGACAAGTTTTATATTGTTTGAGAGACAATCTAGGACATGGGGGGGGGGGCAACCCCTGGCATGCGTGCCACATTTGGCACGCGAGCCCATTTATTCGGCACGTGAACGAGGCCTCGTAAACGATATCATTCTTCTACAGATGAAAAGTTGCTGTTATAAATTGATTTCGGAAGAAATACAAGCTATTAGGGAAGGGAATACAAGTGCAGAAAACTAACTATTGCGTGAGGATGCAATTCCCGAAAATTTTTCGTGTCTTAAAAACTTTGCAATGGCATTACTGTTAGATTTGACCTCGCACGCCTCACACTTCCGTCCATTTATATTTTTCCATTATATTAACAATCCCAGACAAATTATGTCCTATCTTTATTATCTTGATTACCTGTCGACGGTGACTCATTATTGCGCTATAGTGAAGACATAGGGAGTGAAACTTTCCCCCCGAATTTTGAGATAACGCTTTTCTGATACTTTGTTTTATACGGCATTGTGGGATTGCGAAAATGTCGTTTAGTATTGAGATTTGCCTTGGATATAGTTTACATTGGGGGTTCGGGTTTCGTGAAATCTGTTATTGGACACGTAGTGGACATAACGATCGTTTCAATATTATGTTGTTGTTCTTGTTCTTTGACACGTTTTTAAAAAGTCGCTTTTCTCTTCGAATACTGAACCAATTGCTTTGAAATTTTCAGTGGTTAAAGATAAAAATTTTCTCCAGAAGGCTATTATTTTTTTTTCGCTATGACGTCATCAAAATTATGTGACTCTACGTGTCCATATATTTGAGCATAGCTCTCTTGTATTAATTTAGCTCAGTTGGGTCATATTTTGTATGGTCTATTATTGTTTGTTACTGTGAATGTTCTTTTATCATTCTTTCATTGCTTATTTCTAGTGCATCCGTGTCGTTATAAATTAGTTTTTACGTTGGTCTTCAAGTTTCTGTGCTGTAGCAACATTTTACTCATATGTGGAGATTGATGAATACAGTTCGTTTTCTAAGGATCTCGTTGCCTCTTTACTTTGGTTGTGCAGTTACTAGAATCTGGGACATTGTGCCTAATTCTTCAAGGCGGGTACGGGTGCAAATAGAACTCCACTACAACAAGAGAGCTATGCTCAAATATATGGACACGTAGAGTCACATAATTTTGATGACGTCATAGCGAAAAAAAAAGTAATAGCCTTCTGAAGAAAATTTTTATCTTCAACCACTAAAAATTTCAAAGCAATTGGTCCAGTATTCGAAGAGAAAAGCGACTTTTTAAAAACGTGTCAAGCGGTACTGAGTTAGCAGTCAGGCAGCATCTTACCTGTACACTGTAGGCCATATACGGTAATTGATCACAGAACAGTTGTTCCCTTGCAAATTTTATGTTGTTTACACTTTAGGACAGATAATTGATCCCAGAACAATTCTTCCCTTTCAAATTTTATGTTGTTTCCAGTAGACTCTCATCAAAATAAACAAATATAGTAGGCTACAAGTGCTACAACGCTTGCATTACTGCACTGGTAGGACCGTGAAAGAATAAGTTACGGTAATTTCATTGTGGTAAGACACCGGTACCGGCACCAGTACCAGTATCGTACTTACGTACTGAGCTACCAGTACCGGTTAGCAGTCAGCCAGCATCTTACCTGTACACTGTAGGCCATATACGGTAATTGATCACAGAACAGTTGTTCCCTTGCAAATTTTATGTTGTTTACACTTTAGTACAGATAATTGATCACACAACAATTCTTCCCTTTCAAATTTTATGTTGTTTCCAGTAGACTCTCATCAAAATAAACAAATATAGTAGGCTACAAGTGCTACAACGCTTGCATTACTGCACTGGTAGGACCGTGAAAGAATAAGTTACGGTAATTTCATTGTGGTAAGACACCGGTACCGGCACCAGTACCAGTATCGTACTTACGTACTGAGCTACCAGTACCGGTACCGAACCTGTAGGTCTGATATTCCGTTCCGCATACGATAGGCTATAAAACTTGCATTGCAGCATTAGTAATACCGCGGAAGGAATAAGTCAATTTCACTGCGTTACGGTACCTGTATGGCAACTTACCAGTACCGACCTACAGTAGCTGTAGTACTGAGCAAGACAATCGATCGCGAAACCGCTTGAAATAAGTGTAAAACAGTGTTCCCATGAGTAAAAATAAATACCGCGAAATTTTGTATGAAATATCATATCTCATAGGATTCATATAAAATTTAAGAATAAACAAAAGTAATAGCCTTTTAGCGAAAAAATTAATCTTCAACCACTGAAAATTTCAAAGCAATTGGTCCAGTATTCGAAGAGAAAAGCGACTTTTTAAAAACGTGTCAAAGAACAAGAACAACAACATAATATTGAAACGATCGTTATGTCCACTACGTGTCCAATAACGTTGAGTGGATTGGAATTCACGTTCGAATTTTACAATTACTCTTCATGTTTTCATATACATATATTTGTGAATCTCTGTTCTCAGTTATGTAATTTATTAAGTCACGTTACAGAAATAGCCGAAAGATGAAACCAGTAGTTCGCGTATTTCTTTGAAAGATACAAAATATAAACCCAGCGTGAAATCTCTATAGGCGGTAATGCAGCAGCAGAAGTCTCACTGATAGAAAATGATATAAAAGTAATCAAATCTATTAATCAGACACATATTTACCTGAATAGTAAACCTGTCTGTACATGTTTAAAAGGTTTATTATTGTGTATTTTTGCTTTGGAAGTAGCAAAGCATTGTTTTTAATTTTGGTCGGCACGCGGAATAATTTTGTCGTTAAATTTAGTCGATTATGTCACGCGAGCCGAACAAGGTAGCCCACCCCTGATCTAGGAGAATAATTATAAGATGGAGATAAAATGTCGCGATTATCGTACAAAAATCGGCAAAATTGAAAAGCGTGAAATTTTTTTGAAAAGCTTTTCAATTAAATAACAAAAACTTCGATTTGTTCTTGTTTTAACCTAATATGATATCGACACATTTGTAGAGGTTAAAGATAGCTTTCGAGTGGTATCATTAGATTGTATTTATCGTGCACCAGTAAAATTGTATAAGCTATTTTTTTAATGTTCTCCAATTATTCATATGTGCGCTGCGCCAACTTGAGTTAAACAGCGACGTTTTTAATTACTTCGTTACGCAGCGACGTTTTGCAATTACGTGTTGCAACGTAGTAGCTCTGCGTTCGTTATGAAAAACACTTAACAACGCATGGAAGTGGGGTCCCAAGCCATACCAAGTGACCCCTTCATTAAGATTAGTCTAAGATTATTCTTAGAATATTTTGACGCCCTCTGCTCATTGAATACGCGTTCTTATTTAAAAATTTTCCATCCGTTGACAACATAAATTTTGTAAGGTGTAATTGATTATAACTTATCAATCTTAAGATCGGTAAGTATGTGGATAGGTATTTGTCTGTTTGTTTAATTGTTTGTCTGTTAGATGCACGTGATATCTCACGTAAGCGAGGTTGAATCTGCTCCAAATGTTGCACGTGCATTCATCATAGCTCGGATCAGAAGTCTATTGATTTTCGATGAATTATGTCGTATAATTAGCGAGTTATTAATTAATTAGTAATGGGACACACGGTGTCACTATGGAGTAAGAGCGTTGCTTTGGGGGATACCCCTAACCTCCGATCGATAAGTTCTCGGTCTCCGACCGATATTCTCGTCTTGTATGTTAGGAATTACTTCGATACATTCCAGTACCATGCAAAGGAAAATGTTAATGACATACAATTCGCATGGTATTTTTCTGCTATCCGTTTTAAGACGAGACCATATTTATGCAAAAACAAGCGTTTTTTCACATTATTACGACTATACCGATCATGATAGTTAAATTGTGTTATACATTTCCCTATGTAGCGCGTCACAAATTTTACGAGACACACGATAATTTGAAAATCCATCGTTAAACGTAGAACAGAAAGGAAGTCGATCAAATCACGATGTGGACACCATGGTAAAAAGCCAAATGTATAATTTAAACGTATTCACCAAACAACATAATGAATTTGGAATAATCATGAAAATATGTGAAACATTTGAAGCGGTAAACGCGGACTTTGATAAATATTCCCGTCAGTTTTAAGTCAAATATGGAAAAAATAATTTAAAAAGCCAATGGAGAATAGCAAAACGTTTCAAACCCGAAAGAATATTCCTGTGCTATCCTTCCGTCATATAAATATGGAACTGTGTGACATTACATTCTACTGAAAATCCGTGTTTTGCTAAAAGTAAAACGGGCTTTGGACTGTAAAAAGTGCTGCGGAACCCTAGTTTGTATAGTTTTATCTTTGTGTTTTCCAGATTTTTTGTATTGATGGAATACTTCCGAACCACAGATGAATTTGCAAAACGATTACTTTAATTTTATTTAAAAATGAGTATAAGAGCAAAATTTCAACTCACAATTTTATTGATATATATTTATATACACTCTAAAAAAACTTGAGTCAATCGCGTGACTAATTCGAAAGAGTTAGGAACAAAATGACTCAATCGTGACTCGAGCGTCATTTCTCTCGCACTCTCACTCGTTTTTGAGTCAAATATTCTCTCGTTTGACGACCGCCTTCTTTCTCTCGCCGCCATAGTGTTAAAGAGTTAGCACAGTCCAACAATATGTGGAAAAAGTCAATCAATAAACAATAGGAACAACTAAAGCCAGTATAATATTTAATCATGGAGCTTGACGCCTTGAAACGTTCCATACCGAATTTAGATATTGACAGCTTTGAAACTTGAGTTTTTAAATTCTCAATTTCTTTTAAAGCTTGCTCAAGTTTTTCTTCAGCTGTTTTCACTACAATGCAGTAGTTGTGATCCACTTGAGTAGGATTAATGTGATTAAAACTCAGACTGCTGGTCCGACTGCTTGGTACAGTGGCATCATCAGTGGTTCTGTACAAATATAATAAAATTCATTAGCAAAGAAATCACATATTCATCCTGGGGAACGGAAGGATGATAAGACGGCTCAATTATATGATGAACCAGATATCGGTGAAAAGTCATATTGTACCCAAATTACAGCTTCAAGTATTGGATCCTCTGCATTGCATGTATATGTGTATATCAAATAATGGCACTGAATTGACTATTGTTATAGCTAGCTGTGAGGCAACTAGCAAAGTTGAATGATGTGCTTGGTAGTCTAAATTAGTATCTGGCTTTCTATCTTTTTTGTCGGGAATATATGCCAACAATGTAGGCATCATAGAAAACTAAGAACCGAATACAGATTCTATTAGCCAGAGCAGGCTATATCTTATAACTATGTGTTTGCACAATGAAAGTGTTTATTTTGTATTGCACTGTTTACCTATTCTTGGCACTATTGTGGCCCGGGAACAATGCAAAAATAATTTTGTGGCCCGCGGAGCCGACAATGTTGGACCACCCTGATATTCTAGACTTTTATAGTCTGTCAAAATATTTTTTCAAATTGGTTAATTTTAAATTTTGGTTTGATACTAGTATGGTGGTATAGTCTAATTCAAAAAATGATATATTCTGTTTTACCTCAGTCTGTTTGGCAGTGGTCTCTCTGCAATTAACTTTGTCCAACTAAATTTTGATGGAACTGAGTTGCGGTGCAAACGGCGTCGACCAGAAGGCGTATCATATATGTCTTCGGGTCTGAAATGGTTGCCACAAACTCGCAGGCTTGGTGTAATCTGTTTTAATAAGTCAAAATGAACCAGCTGATAAGAACGGAATAAATAACACCAACTAAAGTGAAGCTAGGCTTCAAGGAATTAATGTATGCCACCTAATAATAATATAGGTTATCAAGTTTAGCTTGATTCCCATAATCAGTACACCAGGAAGATATTGACAAAATAAACACTTATTAGTCTACAGAATCAGAAGAGCCCCAACTAAGATTTGAAAAGAGCAGAAGTTAAATTAATTTAATTAAGTGATTCAAGAGTCTTGCTGCACACTAAGACTCACAGCAAGACTCTTAAATCACTTAGGATAGTTATCTTTACGCTTGCTACAGCATCCTTGCATTATATGCATACCGATCCGCCGGCACAAAAGAATAGAAGAAGGATAAGTAGTTAGAGTCGTAGAAACCAAATCATTAGTTAAATTAATTGTTGCTAAAACTGCAAAAGAAAGTCGTGGGCTGTGCTCACCCTAAATACACTCACATATGGCCTACAACCGCATAGATATAGCCTAATAACTAAAGTAGAAGCGAGAAGAGAAAATCAGGGTCAAAACTAAATTTAAAACCAGAAGAAAAAAATATTTTCCACAATATACTGACTTACTTGAAAATGTTTACCAGGATCGCGACGAATACTGTGAATCCACGCTCTCTTCATTTTTGGGGAAAGAGTGGAACGATAAGTCGGTTGGGTAACGGCTATCGCCATTACACAACGGTACGCAGCAATGAAATTTGGAACCACCAGACGCACGAGCCGCCATTGCAATCGAAAAGCCCAAACCAGTCCAACGTCGCGGGGAAGCAGAAGACAGTACTTTCCCGCGCATGCCCACATAAAAACAAAATGGCGACGCTCAGTGGCGATAATGAATACCCTCCATTTCTCTGTATATTTTTTAAAGTTGGAACCGGCGAAGCGTAGAATTGGCGGGGAAATCGTCATTTCTCCTCTCGCGTTGTCGACGGCGGTTGTTTCGGCCGGAGGTTATCATGCAGCATGGCCACTCGCAGCTTGCGTCGCCTATCAGTTACGGTTAAATATATTATGCTGGGATTTTTATTTTGCGTGAGAGGCCAATAGGACAGTTGGATGGGGTAGGCTAGGTCGTTGTTTTTTTACAAGTGGATTACAAAGTGAATTGCTGTTATGACAGATGGAATTTAGCTTTCACCTGCTACATTCTGACAGTGCTAACAGCTTTGGAGCGGTTGTCCGTTGTCGGTAAGTGATTGCTAGCAGTGGATCAAATAAGATTATCGAAATGAGCATGAACTGCAGTATAGCACAACTGGCTACTGAGCCAAGTTAGATCTGCCGGCCTAAGCTATCGGTAGGCCTATTGTCTGACTGTTAAGTTAACTTTATGTCTGAAGTAGGCTACATGCTGTTCAAGCTCAAGTTACAGGGTCTATAAGACAGTACAACTAGCCTATGTCAGTCTGCCATCTCTTTCTTTCTTAAACAGTTACCGATAACTCATTGCAGTGTTAAATTGGTACAGGTACTTTTATCACACTGCTTGCACAGCTATAGGCCTGGTATATATACTGTTATTTGTTTTAAGCCCTTTTGAGCCTCATAATGAATTTTTATGCGTGTCCAATGGAAGGTTGTGAATGTAAGATGAGGGGGACAGATGAACTATCACTTCATTTACGTCACCAACATAATCTGTCAAAGACGAAATATATAAATATTACTTGTTCTCAAAATCAATGTTGCACAACCTTTTACTCGACTTGACAATTTTTCACGGCATGTGAAAAACATGATTCAAAGTAAGTTGGTACTTTCAACTTCCACCATGCCAATAAAATATGTGCATATTATCCAAGATATATATTTATATATATATAGGGAATTCACTTTTTTGATGATTTTCCAACCTATTTTCAGAGGAGCAAATTAATGGCCAAACTCGGCTGGATTTGAATGATAGCGATTTAAGGACTCTTGGATTCTCAACAATTCGTGCCGTGAAGGAAATGCAACGACTCATAATGCAATGCAAAAACGAAGCAAATGGCCCAAGTGTCATGTTGTGCCCAGAGGAGCCACCTGTAAGTAAATGGTTTATTGTACTGGTGTATCTACTTTCCGTTAGGTATATCATATTCGTGTTCTTTATCTACAGTTTGCCAATCTTCATGGAAAGATTCTCCAGTTTTCAGGGGGTTGTGATGTTATTGGACATTTGAATGAGAATGGGTATCTTAGACGAAGAGATCAGAAAATATTTACGAACATTTGTGTGGAAATATTAGTTTCTGAAGCTGTTAAGAGAGGATACAAAAAAAGTAATTCATGTTTGTCTCGTAAGCGGGAGATGTTGAGATTGAGTCCTATGCAGGTCATCCCGACTGAGTGTAAATAATTGAGTAAGCTTATGCCGACCAACCTCATTCTCACAATATATAGTGGCTGCTGGTATAGAGCCTGGTTTGAAGCGAAAAGCGAAGAAACATATCACTTCATAAAAAAATTATGGTCAGTCCTTGATGTCCTATTATTGTGGCACCCTGCCTGCCATGGGAACTTACCGGTACTATTTTTGTAGTGTTATGCTCTGGGTCTAATTGATCCGGGCTTTTGACAATTGCAGTTTACTCGTTTGATATAATACATTTTTTATTGTTTATTAGCTACCCGCCATCTGCATTGAAAGTTGATCTCGCAAAATCAATTGTCGAGGAATTTCCAAAGCTGAAGTTAAAGTTAGAGGGAACAACCGGATATGTACGTATTATCCTTTTGAGATAATTTCGCTTTCCCTACAAGGCATTATTAATCTCATGAATCTTGTACACAATATTTCGTCATTAAGACTGTATTCCTCTCTTCTGAAGTTGCCAAAATGGGTGTTAAATATGATTCTGTGTTTACTGCGAGTCTGCTCTCTGTCAGCTTTGTCATTAGGCTCTTTTGTTGTTATTGTTTAAATTGCTAAAAATGTTTTTAGGGCCATTATTATGATCCTCTTCGTGGTTCCGGCTTTATAGAAAACAAGCTCAAAACTTTACGAAAACAAATGGCAATAGAAGAATAGATGTATAAAAAAACAAAAGAGAAGCCACTCAACATATGCAAGTAGTTTCCAGTTTGAGAGTAGCGAAGATGCTGACACCAGTGGGAGTACTTGTTGAACTGGATGCCTCACTTCTGGAAGACGATAGCCCTATACTGAAAAAGGTGGGAAATTTCTTATTTTTTATAGGTGGTAATTTTATTTCTCCGCAGCTAGTATTTTATTGGAATATTTTATATGCATATTGCTTTTCAGATTAAATGGCTGAAAGAAACCACACCTAACAAGGACAATAAGGCAGAAATATATAACATAATGAAGGAAAGTCATGACTATCGTAGGCTTGAAATACAGCTGAAGCCTATGACCTTAACTGACATTTTAGAAAAGTACCCAAGGTTCTGTGATGCTTATGAGGGTGGATTGGTAAGTTAGCAATAAATCTAGATGTAAAGTGCAATGTACATAGGCTGTTTATTATTGTATTCGGTGCTCCTGAAGTATGCGAACCAAGATGGCGGACATCGGAACGGTAGCATGGGTAACAGGTTAGGGTTGGGCCATAATTTTATTCCAATTTTCGTTATCTTAGTCCTATTATGAGTTCTTCCAAGTCCTTCCGTAGTATTTGTACCTAAAATTATGGCCCTAACTCTAACCTAGTACACATATTACATTCCGATGTCCGCCATCTTGGTTCGCATTCTTCAGGAGCCCCTTGTATTCATCACATCAAGATATTTTAAGAAGTACGGATATAGAAAGCATCTTTTTTTTTACATGTGCTTCTTGTGGACTCAGATTGACTGTGAATTTGAGATGAATTACCCGGAGTGTAAGGAAGTTTATGGAAATTTTTCCACCACTCATTCAAAAAATTCTTAAATGGATCAGGATTGTGTTCAGTGTGATGATGGTATGTGCCTTTATGCTTTATATTACTGATATTTTATGTATAAATACTGGTTGACTTAGAACTATCTCTGCCACATTTCCAACTGGGCGGCAGTGAAATAGCTTTATTATATCTATGTTTTTTGTGTGAGAGCATATTTAGAGTACTTGACACATTTTAGATGGACTAAAGAGTCTTCTAGTTCTATCGAAGATTTTGCCACCTCTCAACACAAAGGGGAGGAAAGGACAAGAGCAGTGGGCATTATTTAAGTTTCAAGGGTGCGTACTCTGTTTCCTAACTTGTTTGCAAAAATACCATAGCAGATGCAACGTGACATGTTTCTGAATGAATTTTTCAAAGTGATGACATCGTTTGGAAACTTATTCATTCTTTTTTATTCAGGCCGGCTGCAACGTTGGATATTATGCTGAAACCAAGCCTCCATCATTGAGACAGCCATTTTTATTGGTCATTGGTCCGAAATCTCATCCTGAGGAATTCTTCTTAATTCTTGACAAGAAAGTGGTGCCAGTTGGAAATTCATCATTGCTGGCTTTTTATAGACTGTTCGCTTTCGTTTTGGATTTTTGGAATTGAGTACTATGAAAAACTGGCAACTTTCTTCAATTTTTTTTGAAGCTATTCTTTTCGGCATGGATCCCAAACCTTCAGTGGCCTCATTGTTGGCTGCATTGGACTTTGTGTAAAAAAAAAAAAATGATCCTACATAGACGGCTCAAATGAAAATGTGCTGATGCCACCCTTTGTAATTTTTGTGTGTCCACTTTGTTTATTTTGTTTTATACTGATTTGGCCCTATGTTAAACCATCATGTCAGAGTCGACTTGTTAGTTTATACAACTTTATAAAAAATCGATATGTATACACGAATTATGCATTGTCTCTTTTTAGCGTTCAAAATGCCAGATTTTATAGCCCGATGTTCATCTCAAAATGAGATTTTTTTTTCGGACTTTCTAAGCGATGTCTCATATCGCCAAAATTTGACATAGGCCACTGCAGTTTTGAGTCGTCGATGTGAGCAAACACTGGGGTCATAATTTTCAATATGATTTCTTTCTGTGAAATTTATTTCATTTTCTTTTGTTCATTGGTGATTGTGGTTTAGTCTGCATCTTCGGTGATTGTTTATTGTGTTGCTGTTTATACCCTTATATAGCAACACAATTAGCGATCACCGAAAATGCAGATGCGCTCACGCTTGAGTGTTTTTGAAGTTCTTTTCCAAGAAAAATTTGGTATATTTAATTTCTGCTTTTGTGGTAAATGCATGGGTAACTTAAGAAAGTTGAAATGGGGCTGGGGGAATTGGAGAGGAAACCAATAACTCACTTTTTGGTGACTCTATCGAGTTGTAAACTTGACTCAAAAAAGAGCCATCGCAAATGATCTTGACGACCTTATCAAGGGATAAATTTGACTCAAAAAAAAGTCATCGCACATGACTCTTGACGACTCTATTGAAGCGGAAATTTGACTCGAAAAAGAGTCATTGTGCGTGACTCTTTTGACGACTCAATCAAGGGATAAATTTGACTCAAAGAAGAGTCATGTGCGTGACTCAAGTAAAGAGTCAAATATTTCTTGACTCTTTGAAAGAGTAGGAGGCTCGTTGAGTCAATATTTTTTAGAGTGTACATTGGAAAGATGAACACGGCTTAACACGCAATACCTCGTTAATTTTTGATGCAATTATTAAGATTAATTTAGGCTTGTAATTTTACTCTCCTAAAATAACCACCGAACAATAACAAACTCGTATGATGTTAATGCTATAAAGTTTCAAATCTAACTCTTTGAACTTACACTTTAGTTCGTACCAGCATAGGTACAAAAACTGTAGTCGTCAGTGGTCGATGTTGCAGCCGATCTGTGTATACAAACTGCTAGCACCACAGTGCTGACAGCATAATGTTCACAGATGAAGAAGCACGATGCCCACAACTGCGAAAACTGTGATCGTTACTGCCTATTGGGTCGGAGCAAATAAAATAATTGTTTGTTATGTAGTAAAACGTGATGAATTAGTCTTTATTTCCAATGACAAGCTAGCAGAGACTCTAGTGGACCCTTTCCGCAACACTAATGGGACGACGATCAATACCCCACCGGGGAATTATTTTGATTTGCAAAAACGGAGAAGTCCAAATAACTGCGACTAAAACATTTGACCTTCACCATTAATTAATAACAGAGGCTATACTTCCAGTATACCAGAAATATTGGGCCTCTTTAGTGGCATAATGCATACTATAGTGTATCGACGTTTAGACTTTTCCCAAATGTTATGTTTGCCGTCTATATCGGGCCTACAGCAAATTACAATTACAGAGAAAGTAAGATTCCTATCATATTTTTAAGTCGAATAACATAACGTTATATAAATATAGGTGACAAAGGTGGTAAAACTACAGCCCATGGACTGCATGCTTTGTCAAGTCAATTTGTGTCAGTTGTTTTACCTTGTCATCTAATATATTTCTTCAAAAAACTTTTAATTTGAAATATTTTTTATAATAAATTTTAACTAAGGTTAACTGTATTATATGGTACTTCTCTCAATGCGTCCATTTGCAATAATAATTAAATTTTCTCAGCGCAGCCCTTTCTTTCAGCATGAAAAACTTTGCCCAAGACTGAGCGCCAATAAAAAAGCAATATAGTCGAATAAGTTATTTTCGTCATTTATGATAACTTGTGCATTAGGATTATTCAAGAATGAATAGCAATACTAGGAAAACAACAAAATGAATTCTGTCGATTATCGTCAGACGTAAAATATATTTATATGGTACTATTACAATATAATCATAAAGATTAGGTATATTTAGGAATTATTAAGAAATTTAGACGAGTTTATTCCATGAAGCTTCAGCTGCACTATATAGAAAGTTCCAGATATTCGTTGGCCCAGCTGAATAAACTGTATCCACCAATGCAACAAAGAACAAATAGGCTATGGTAGCCAACGACAGCATCTATTCTTTTTCAATCTCGATCATGATTGGATCCGTGGCAAGATATTCGTCCACAATATTTGCGCCTTTATTTGTGTGAGGAAATGGTACGTCAGGTACAGGGACCCCCAAAAACTTGCAAAGAGGTTCTCATCCGTGGCGATAATTGTAAACCAGAAGCTTTTCAGGAGGTGCATTCTGTAAAATACAAAGATAATGAGTAAAAAGTGTAGCGCAATGAAGAAATGTTTGATCGGAATCAACATGGCAGTAGTTGATGTTATAATAGTATTAAAAATATATTTTTATGTGAAATATATATTACAAACTAGACTTGTTTTTTCAAACCGGTATTATGCACTGAATTATGAATTGAATGGGTATCATTATCTTTGCACCCACGTACAAATAAACCTATAGGGACATTTCCACCAATGGACATTTGCAGCAACGAATATTTGTACCCACCTACATTTGCACGTGGACATACAATGCATAACTTGACACCAAGCTCAAAATCCTGCTGTGCATCACCCGGAAAAGATCTCTGCAGCCCATGCTTTTGTAGCGCGCCTCGTGAGTAGGACCATAACAACCACTTTAAATCTCAATTTTTTTGAAAACCTAGAAACCAGGTTTAGAACCTAACAGAAATGCTGAAGTCGGTGCCGACATATCTTAGTGATACGCCCGGCAAGGACATTGGTTTTTCTCAATGTACAAGTAGAGTGTTTTGTTATTGGTTACTTTATTTTAGTTAACATTTATAAAATTTGAATATATTTTTAGAGTATTCATGACATTTATCATTTTTAGCGAGTGACGAAAATTGAACTCTCAACGGAGCTAAGTGTAATCAATGGTCAGGTGTCTAACACAACAGTCCATCTTCAAACAAGACTTGTCTCAGGGTTGTACTTTAAAACGAGTTACTTTAGATCCAATTATAAATTATCACCAGAATAGCGTTAACAACAAAAATTTTATACTAATGCTAAAACACAATTGAACTCATCAAATATAAAGGTAGCGTTCAACAATATCGCAGTCACATACTCCAGATACATGAAGGAATACTACTAATTAAAAATGGAATTAACGGTATGTATATATATATTGTTTTAAGTCGAGGTTTCCTGCCTCTTTTGTTTAAAATAGCTGTATCGATTTTCCAAATCGCGTTCATTGCTAAATAGGGCTGGGCATTTCCGAATACCTGATGATTTCAGAATCGAATAGAATATTTTCTTTGAATCGAATCTGGAATAGGCTACCCGGGAGATATATATATAATTGTATGCGACTTTCTTATTGTAATTGGTCCTGTCAACAAATGAATCACTGAAAACATAGAATACATCACTCAGACAGATTGCTGAGAGTTCATACACAATAAGAAACACGTTTTATCAATAACTTATTACAGAAAATAGTCATACGTCTGAATTGCGTTGAAAAAAATATGGCTTCAATAAAAAACTTGAGGAATTAACCTCGACCATTGGCGGAAAGAAAAAAAAACAAGATGGCCGCGATTCGAAATTTTGTTTTGAACCTATTCGACTAATTTACTATTCGATTCGAAATGCCCACCCCTATTGCTGAATGTAACTGCATCCAATTCTAGTTTCATAAATCTTTTCATATAAACTTCATTTCCTTCTGGTACAGCCACACATTTTTTGGCATTAGCTGGCATATGTGAAACCATTGGGCAAGCGTCATTTTGCGTGATCTCGTCGTTACCAGACGTGTTCCACCCTGTTCGAATCCCCATTAAACTAATCCCTTGCCCGCTATGGACTGAAAACTGACGAGATGCCAGGGATTCTCGCGCGTTCCGACTGTCGAGCAAGCAGGACAGATGAAAAGAATCATATAAACTTTCGGGATTTCTTTTTCATCGACTCACACAATCATTTTTCAAACCAAAGCCAGTTTGTCTTTTTCAGGGGACAAAAACAACGAGGGAAGAAACTCAGAGAATTTTACTGTTGCTGAGTTATTTTAAATATTTCATTGCAGATCATTTTTTTAACTGCTCGAATATGTTAGCATCTCCAGGTGTCTAAGTATCAACATTGCTACGCTTTCCTCGGGAGAGAGGAAAGCCGATAGAACGGCTTAATCACTACGACGGCGAGCAATCCTCTTAACTAACCCCGCGTGGGATTCGAACCAACGCAGGATAATCAGAGGTGCAGTGGTGGGCGTGTGCCACCATCGCCACACCGCACAGCCAGAGTGATCCAGTTATGTGGATTTTAAAAATGTAAAGGCATTCTGTACAAGAACATAAAATGGCAAAATAATTCAGTGATTTAAAAAAACATATACTGGGAATGTTGATGATGTTGTTTTCCAATAAATCAAATTTACGTGAGGACAATCAATCATGTGCGAGGTCGTGGTTCGACACACGATTAAGCTGCAAGTCCCCTGTATAAATATGGAAAACTCGGTACTCCTGTAGTATATGTACCAGGTTAGGCCATAATTATATTCCGATTTTCCTTATTTTAGTTCTATTACGAGCCCGGGGACTGTTTTTGTTAGCCAAGTGAATATACATACCCCCTGCCCATAGCTTTCAGTCCCTTTATACAACTTGATGTAAAGTAGGCGAACAACATTGGATAACTCCATATTGGTGAATACACTTCTAGAGCGTCGAAAATTCTGTATCCTACAAGTTCATGCGAGAGAACGAAAGCGCCAACAAGCGCAAAAAACGTTGGTCAAAATGTACCTGGTTTTATTTTTTAGGAAAACGTACCTAATTCAATAAAATTAGCTATGATGGAATATGTTTATATCAGGTTGTATAAACTAGTAAAATGAATAACCTGTGGCATGTGTCACAAATCACTTCAAAGGCATAGCTGTCTCAGCGGTTAGCATCCATACTAATTGCACGACGAAATAAACTTATTGTCTATTGTTTGTCTAATGAAGCGTTCTCAAGACACATGATTTCTGACCAACTTGAAAGTTAGCATGCCATATTTAGACTGTTTGTCATATTTTTCAGCAATATAGTATTAGGTAAACTGCAAATATACATCGCATTTTATCATTGAATATTCTTTTAAAGCAGGGGTAGGCAATTAACTTTTCTTAATGGGCAAGTTACAGATAATAGGCTTCAGTACTGAGCTGGAGGCTCAATATGCCCATATATGGGCTATTCCAAGTGACACTACAGGACAATTCCAGAAATTTTGCATGTTGTTAAATTCAATATATTTTCACATTTTCAGCTACATGTTTTGTTTCATTGTCCAATCAGTTGCTTTATTGAATATGTAAAAAATTGCACAAAAGTTACATCCAACCTTACTTAGTAGATAAAAATTTTTTAGTAAACTATAGCGTGATACTACAGGACGGCAAATCCACCATGCACTAACAGTACGTTGTGTTGTGCTGTAAATTTTTGCGATGGTACAGTAGGAGCCCATAATATTTTCTGGTGCAGTAGCTGAACTACCCTCTATGTGTTGCTCAAGTTACTTAATGTAACACTGTAAATCCATGTCAATAATGTGCACATTGTATGTGACGTGACACTACAGGACGTGATACTACAGGACATTTTTTGCACTTCGGAATAGCGGCATCTATCATCTCTTAAAATTCTGTTAATAAATCGTTACATGGGTGAAGAAATGTTCTACAGCACTGCAAACATTCAAACTTTATTAACTTAAATACAGTGCGTCAATTCCCAATGAAATAACTGTACCACACAATCAAACACTTTGTGTCAGGAATCATCACAAAATATGTCAATTATACCAAAATTTCTACATTTCAGGCCATTTTTTATAAACCATCAAAAACCTGGGTGAAATTTTGAGAGGGTTCGATGAAATGAATGCAGTCCAATAAAATTCCAATGTCTTTTGATATCAAAAATGAAAAAAATTACTTTCACTACACTTTTTAAAAAATTGATGGAATTCAACTTTTGCTTGGATTGGCCCATATATGAAAAAAACTATGAATGAAAAACCGTTTATTTACAACAGCTAGTCCAACAACTTTGCTAACGTTTTCATAATGAGCACAATTGAACGATGATCGGGGTCATTATGACGTGATTATCATCGATATTCTCAACAGAAACATATATTTATAAAGACTATAATCATAATTTCAGCAGACAAGTGGGTCAGATCTGGCCAACGGGCTGTAATTTGCCTACCCCTGTTTTAAAGGATGCAAATAAAGTTCCATTAGCACAAGCCACAATAACATGTGAATTTCTCATATACTCAACTTCAAACCTTCCCAATGTCTATAAACTACAGAGTCTAAACATCAGTGACAATAGAAAAAACAGTTGTTCCCCTTTAATCATATAAATTGTAATTTACATATTCCAGAATTGCAATCCTGGTCCATTCATGATCATGACTTGTACCTGTGGCTCACGGTTGGTCATACATTCACACCATAGTTTGCTGCACAAAATATGTTGAGAAATATAAAGTATGATTTAACATATTGATAAATAAACATCAATTAATATTGGCTGTAATATTATTTCCAGCAGTTTAAACATCAACTTCTGTCATTAAGGCATCCAATTCCATTTCTGATTCTTCAGTTTGAGATTCAGGAACTGGTTGTGACCACTTCGGAGTAAATTCTGCATTTCCTTGACTAGGTTTCAGCCCGGTGGTCTTTTTCTCACCTTTCAAGAGCATTTGACTTTCATCAAAGTATTGGTTTGGATGGTTAAGTTGAAAACCTGCTTCATCAACTTTGTGTGTCACCTCATAGTATTTTGTACAAGCAATTTGATAATGCTGGCTTTTCATTAGTTTAATGATCTCGTCAATTGAGTCTTTTGGTATTTTATAGTGATGGAGGCGTTGTTTTAAGAGTTCTGGAGATGAGTGTTTGAAAGGGCAACCGTGGTGTTCACCAGGTGCTGGTACATTTTTCATTATAATATTCATGCAACCATAAGGAGCATAATTTGTTCTTTTACCTTCACGACCAAACATATGTCGGAAATTATAGGAATACTCTTTGTTGAATTTTTCTTCCCCAACTCCTTTACTAAATTCAGCTTTCCAGAATTTAATTGATTCCTCAAGAGTAACACCTATGCCCTTTAAGAAAAGTCCATACTGCAAACGAGCCCAGTGCTTATGATGATGAGTCTCACGCAAAACTTGATGCAATTGTCGCATACATAATGGAAATGAGATATTAGATAATTCATCAATTTGCTTGATAGATACTTTGCCAGTATTTTTGTTTGGATCGTATGCTTCAGCAAGAGTGTTTTTATTGAATCCCCTAAGTATAGGCAAGAGTCTATCATCCTCTTCTAACTCAGGTAGTGATCTTGAAGTCTGAGCTAAAGCTTTAGATAGGTGTTCACGAAAACGTGTGCTAATGATGGATATCAACTCTGACTGTGGAACATAGGCATAACCTGAGTTGATAAACACACGACGTGATGATACAAGATTCAAAACATCAGTGAAAGGAACTTTATAAAAGTTAGTTGACTGGACCTTAGACTGAGTCATATCGTAGGATATCAATTTTAGATGCGCAGAAAACTTTTCTTTTTCCTCCTCTGAGATTGGATAATAAGTCATATCATTCAACATTAAAAATTGTTTGATACTTGACGTTGATTCACAATTAAATCGATATTTGAATAAATCCACCTCTTTTTCCAAAAACCAACGACGAAGTTCATCGGAACGACAATACGCCAGTCTGAGAATAAAGTGGGAAATGTGATCCTTACGACGCCATTCTAAATTCCTTTCTTCTGTATCTTTCGATGGCTCAGATGTTAATGTAAACCCAACATAATTTTTTCTTAAATAGTCTCCAAGTTTTTGGCAGTAATCTGGACTATTTTTGACATAAGACACTCCTAATGAATCCAAATAGTGCAAAACTTTTACTCTATCATATGCAAATGATTCAAATTCTTGGAGGGTGATGTTGCACATTGGTGGTCTGTTATACATCATTAAACCGTGAGGGTAAAGGTCATCAGATAAGCCATCCGCCAATCGAAGTCGCTTTCTTCTAGAAGCAGATGGTTTGGGTGTTCCACCAAACTGCATTTTTTAGGTTTTGAAGAAACTGCTATTACAATAAATACAAAAACTGAAAAACAAGCAACCGTTATGGCATTCAATTAACTTTAACTAAAATCCATTTGGGTTGGTTTAGTTCATTATTGCCTTGCTCAATTAAGCAATTCACATTTTTAACTGGACTCACTCTGAATATTATGGATAAAATGTGCATAGGATAAGGGTCTATAACAGCAGTGGGCAAGGTTTTTGGACCTGGGCCATGTAAGTGTGACACAAAAGTTACATTTTATGAATAATATTTACAGTGTTACAAAAGCAAAAGTGGAAAACAATAAGCCTCGTCTCAAAACTAAATTTAAACGCAATCCAAACAAATTGTTTGATCTTTTTTTTACCTTCAACATCAAACTTTGGTGTTAGTTCTGTAGTTTAGTTTAGCCGCATCAGGTGGGCCAGATTGTATTACCCAAACACAAAACGGCACACTATACAAATCGGGTGACATCCCGTCCCTCAATATTGGTAATAATACAGTATAACGAAGTTGCGCAAAATACTACAAAAAGGGCGCAATCTAGTAACGTCAGCATTGAATTCTTTGGGAACAAATAATCCGATTTACCAAAGAAAAAATTTTTTTACCGAAGCATTCGAGAGTTTTTAGCAAAAAACGGCAATTTTGGTCATGTGACAGCCGCGATTAATTTAGATTATTATTGAGACAAGCATGGCGCGATATGAAGCATCTGACGTAGTCCCAGACGCCCCTCATTTGTGAGACACAGAGTGTTTGTTTTATTGAGCCAAATGGAGGGAAATTCTTGGAATTTGGATAGTGTGCTGTACTGAAACAGCCGTATTTGGCTGGAATGGGTGGTGGCTGACTTTGATGACCTTTGGCCGTATCGCCATCTCCCAATCAAAACAAAAATAATAAACTCTCTCTCTTGTCCCATTGGGTTTACCAATGTTTGATCTATAAGTTGGGTCTGGTATAGTTTAGTACCACATCGACTTCTAGTTGGCCTGGCTCAACAATTTTTGCATATGTCAATCCTAACCCCCACCTGACTACGTCACCGAAAAATTACGTCATTCCGACGTCACAGTGGCATAATAAGGCCCACCGAAGTATGCGGATGGTCGTCCAAAACGCGCAGACGATAACCCGAAATCGAGCAAGCGATTTCTCTCGTTTTCTCGTCGCAACGATCACGATAGGAGAGAGATCGCCGGCTTTAGCAAGTTCTTATCGGCGGCGCAGATGCCATTTCGGGCGATCGTAATTATACTTTGGCAATCCCTATGACGTGATGGTGACGTCGTAGTGACGTAATGGATGGCATAGTCAGGTGAGAGTTAGGAATAACATATGCAAAAATCGTTATGCTACGCCCACTGGAAGTACTTGTGGTACTTAACTATACTAGACCCTATAAGTTTACCGACAAACTCATTGTGTGCTATCAGACTATTGATGAAACATTAGTGAGAATATACAAAAACAGCATTATACAATAGTCAGTGTGGTAAAGCAGTAAAGTGAAATTTACTACAGTAAACTTCAACTCTCGGCAGCTCAGCCTCATTTATTAAAAATTGATAAGTTCCTGATACCTTAATTTCTGTAAATAGTGAATTCTTTACAGTTGAACCGTCACAGGGCAGTAGGATCTACAGTTCTATAGAAAAAATGACTTCATCTAGTCATCTGGACTCATGACTTCCATACACATAGGACAAATAATCATTAGATTGGCATTTTTAAGAAATCGGGAAATGGATACACCTGAATAAACTATTCTAACTTAGGCTTTATATAATGCATAGGTAGACTATATCATGCATTTTAATAATTTCAGAGAAACTCTGTGTGTTGAAAATATTATGTCTGTGCGGTACAGGCGCGGCGGTGTGGCTCAACGGGCTAAGCGTTAGGAATACGCTCGCCACCGCACCTCTGATTACTCTGCGTGGGTTCGCAGGTTCGAATCCCATGCAGGGATGGTTATGTGCGAGCGGATTGCTGGACTCCTCGCCGTCGTTGGGTGGTTCACGTAACCGCTGGTCGGTTACGGCTTCCTCCACCACCAAGTAATTACTGAAATACATACAGACATTAGAGATGGCTTTTCGCACCATTTAGTTCGCACATTACAATAATTACACATTATAATAAATAAGATACAGTACCGTACCTAACTCTTATCACAAATTCTTGAATTCTGCGTCACTGCTGTGACTTCATATTAGTGAGAATCTTTCCCGCGCAAACTATGGTTGTTGTTTACCTGACCCTTAACCCAAGAAAAAATCTGTAGATATTTCTCGTTCTGTTTTATAAGTTTATTTTGATTTCGGCGATACATAACATGCTTAAAAAACATACACAAAACAATGAAGAAGATTGGGAAAACTGGCAAAAACCTCTAGAAAGGGTTGAAACATGTGGAAATACATATGCCAGTTCAATCATATTACACAAACAAACATATAAATAAGGATAAAAACACGAACGTTCATCTTTCTGGCTAGGGTTGGGATTTAGGGACTAGTTTTTGAAATCACGGTATCGGGATTGAGCCGTAAAATCCCGGGATTTTTTCGGGATTGAGTAAAAGATTGAAACAAGTTGCATCACAATAAAATCACATATTTATTTCATGTAATATCGACGCAGAAATATTAAAGCATCTAGGGTGTTATCGTTCATACGACTTCTTATTTTGTTTGCGAAAAATCCAAGAGCAGAAAACGCTCTTTCTGCCTCGACGGACGTGGGTTTAATTGTTTTTAGGGCAGCGTACAACTTTTCAAGGTTTTCAGGTCTCTTTTTGCTTGTTTCATACAGTACCATCTCTTTTTGAATCACATGAGAGCTCAGGTTGCCAGTCTTCTACTTCGTCATCTTCCACAAAACTGTGGAATTCCTCTGCTAAAGTCATTTTCTTTTCTTCGTCAAGAATTTCACTGTCAACATCAATGTGCACAATGTAGCCCGCATTGTAAGCCTCTCACGACTCCGGTCACGCAAAAACATGATTAGTACTGTAATTTATTCATTGTGTCACTTTATGTTTGAACGTGTTTTTTGTGATGACAAAATAAACGATTGATTGATTGATTGAGGAAATAATCTCTGCAAGATGTCCATGGCCAGAGCAGCAATTCTGGGCCGCTTTACTCTGTGCCCAAATTGATCCTGAACTTGATCAAGATAAGACGGACTTTTTAAATATTTCAATAGATGGACCAGCTCAGCATTCCGCCGTTCTTCAATTCGTGCTTTGAACCGGTCTTTTAATGCCTGGCTGATTCCAGTTTTCTGATCACCAAGCTTCTTTAAAGTAAATGCAATTACTTTTTCTGCTAAAAGAATGTCTGCATCTTCACTGGAGAGTGTTTCTAACGCAACTTTTATGGGAGCAAGAACATCACACAGTCCCTTGATAATTTTCATGTCATTTTCAGATAAGTCAAAATCAATATCCAGTCGAACTAGAGCCAATTTTACCTCTTTTCGTAGCTGATAGAATCTCTCTAGCATTGAGAGCAAACTGTTCCATCGGGTTTTGTAGTCGAGCAGTAGTGTAATTTCCTTTCCAAAAGACTCCAAGACAAATGGTTGAAGAGCATCATCATTTTTTACAGGCGACCTTCTGAATATTTTCACGATGTTTCTGACTTTCTTGATCAATGTGTCAAGGTTGGGAGATAAAGTTGGAGAAAATCCGAAATCCTCGCGTTGTTCTGAGTCGTTGTCATCTTCGTCTGAACTGTCACTGTGACAGTCAAGTTCATCAGAGCATACTGCGACCGGTTGCCTCTTGTATAACACGTCACAAACGGCCAAATGAATCGCGTGAGCAAAGCAGATCACATGGAGTGGACTCGTTTCTTTTCCAAATTTTACCATAAAACTAGCACCATCAGTGATTGTGGAAACAATATCTGTATTCAGGTCGAGACCAAAGGCGTTTAGTCGATTACCAACTAAGTCGATTGCTTTTTGTGTGTCCATGCTGCCGTGGATGCGAATCAATCCCAGCGAATGAAAGCCACCTTGAAAATGACAATTAATGTTCATGTAACGACGATTTCTTGCGGATGTTGCCTCATCAAATGTTATGGAAAAACGACCATTATTCAGTTTGGTTGCACAAAACTCTTCCTTGACTAATTTCTTGACGGTTTCAAAGTTTCCATCACCAGACTACGAACACGTTTGTGTGATTTGGGCAGCGTATAACCATCAGTTTTGAACGCTTGATGTAGCCTCTCACTTTTGGCAATTTGATTAAATGTAAGACCATCCACTGCAGTTAACTGACTAACTAGCACCTCAATGTATTGTTGACTTTTTTGACTTGAAGAACGACTCAATTTTTCTGATCTTGGGATTTGGCTGATCCTCCATGCTCGTGCGAGACTTCACTTCAATCTCGTGCTTTGACTTCAAATGAACTATAAGTCCCTTCGTGTTCGACCCAGACGCTTTTAAAATTGTTTGGCACAATTTACACTTCGCTTTTTCTGTATCTTTGCAAAATAAAAAGTTTCTCCACTCAGACTCCTGACTTTCTTTTAGCACTGACTTCTTCAAAGTTTGACATTTTTATTTTCAGTTTTCCAATCAACTCTGATTACGACCGTTCTTGCTTCGACTGTAACTCCAGACTTTACCCCCACACTGCAAACTTGTTGTATCTTGTCTGCATTCTGTACTGATTGTAACGTCAGACTGTGGTCTGTTCCAAACTTTATACTGAGGATTGTTCCGATTGTAATTTCAGACCGCGACTTAGTCTGACTAACTCAAAGTGTAAGCGTGGACGGATTTTTTCAAAATAAGTATCACAATAAACGGTATAACCTATGTGGATAACAAAACTTTAAAATCCCGGGATTTTTAGGAAATAATTGCGGGATCGGGACTGAAAAAAACAGTCCGAATCCCGGGATTTCCCGGGGTCCCAACCCTATTTCTGGCATCCAACTCGGTGAACACACTGCAAAAAAAATAGAAACTAGCAAATTACAATTAAAACAATTTCTGAAAATTACAACTGAAAACTACATATGGAGCAAAGTTATTGGA